TCTGTGTTGGTGGGCGGCTCCGTTGCTGGTTTTTCACTCCTTTCATCAGGCTGATTGTTGACCCAAGTTTCTGATGACACTGTCAGAGACAAGCTCAAAGCATCTTCAGATATACCTGAAAAAGAATCTACTGCCTCAAGTTCTCCGTTTCAGCAGGCGTCTGTTGTTCTACCAGTCACCCATTTATAAACAAACTCTGCAGCCTTTCTAGGACATACAGATACAAAATATTTAATACACATAGAAACATCCTGAAGGAATTTCATGAAGACAGATTGTGCTTTTGTTTTCATATATAGTTGTAACTATCTCACTTGCCTCCAACTGGGGAAAGCTAAGTGCAGGACACCAAATGTACGTGAGGTTTAGTCACCGAGGAGGAGAGCATCAAAGGAATGTCAATACACGAGTGCAAATAAAACAGGTGCCTTCAAGCACACACAAATGTCACCACTGAATTATTAAGACAGAGATCTTTGATTTTCAGAACAGAACTGTTAGAGACTAACTCCACAGAAACCCTTGAAAACAAAGATCTGAAGAGAGAAGTAACAGACTTAATGTTCCCGGAGATATTCCACAGCCGCTACCGGCTGCAGTTTTTTCCTGGGGACCACTAAGTGACACTGGCAGAGTCACACAGTTTCTCAACTCCCACTCATCCTCAATTTCTGAGCTGCTTAATTTTCAATACGTAACAGATGCTGGTTTTACGCATCGAATCCAATCAACACCCTCGTGTCTTACAAAGATGTATCAAGCCCATCAAAATGGTTTAGCACAGTATTTCCTAGATTCAGTGGGAGGAGTGATATTCCAGAAACTAGCACTCAATCTGGGAGCGCGGCATTCTCCGTAAGCTCAGGGAGTGTCGGTGTATTTCCTGCATCTGCCTTTCCTGCATTTGCCTTATTCTATCTTTCTGCCACATCAAATTTTGTGGCATCGGGTACCTTTGTGTTCCCTGCAGGCACCTGAAGGGAATTCTCACGTGGCAGGCCGTGGCTCTGCAGCGAGGCTGAGGCATCGGAGGCAAAAGCATCCAGCGCTTTCTCTCAGCGCAGTACCGATAGGCCTCCTTCCTGTACTGCTTGTCGATGTCATCGCTGTTCTTCCACCCTCCGATGATGAAAACATCATCTTTGTAGTAACAAATGGCTGCTCCCTCAATGCTAAGAACCTCAGGGGGCAAGCTCTCGAGGATTTCATCCGAGGCCCTGCCAGAGATCTTTACCTTGGCTTCTTCGTTATCTATAGGGTAACTCTTGGGGCAGCACGATGCCGTATGGTAGAAGTTTGTGTTAGCAACAGACATCTGGAAAGAGCAGTAATTATCAACGAGCGGCAGAGACTCCACGTCCTGCCACTGCTTTGTTTCAGCATCGTACCTGACGATCACCGCCCTCAACCCATCCTCGCTATCGCTGTCAACTGGGGTACGGGCTGCAACGTAAATAAACCGGTCTTCTACGGAAACGGCTTTGACGTCACGCAGAATCTTTGGGGCTGACTCCAGGCTGAGCCATTTGTCTTGCTCGGGATTATAAACGGCCACGTCTTTAAAGCCGGGACTGAAATTGCCGTGTCCACCAATACTGTACAAGTTTCCCTTAACTTCAGTAAGGCCAAAAGAATGCTTTCTGGTTATCAGATTGGAGACCTGCTCCCAGATATTTCTGTTTGGATTGTACCTTTCTACAGTCTTGGCAAACCCTGGTTC